GTGGCGAGCCGCTCGCGTGTGTGTGGGGCACCCCCAGCCTCTCCTCACAGGGGCTGCCCCTTGCTTCCTTATTAAGTCAGATTCTGCACTAATTCACTATTTAAAGGTGGGTGTATTAGCTTTAATTGCTTTAAACTAGTTCTAGTCTTTAAATTAGGGAAGTAGCACTTCCTGAGATCTCCTAACCTATCTAATTAAAAAAGGATAATGTTTAATTTACTTTAAGGCAACAAAAGCATCGAGCATGGCTGAAAAGCAATTTGAGCCATACAGAGCAGCGTACATGGAAAGGACTCTCAACATTTTCATCTTGATAGATTATTTGACCTTAAGAACCAAGTTTGCCCCAGGGCTGCTGAAGAGCTTCATTACTGACACTCATCTGTACGAGCCCTATGAGCCCAAACCTGGGTAGAGCAATCAACTCTATTACTTTCAGCCTCTACGTCTTTTTAATGCATTTTCTACCTATTTCATTCCTCTCTGTTGTGTGGATTTTTTGGGTTGCAGCCTGAACACAGCAAGAGGTACAGTTGGGAATGAGCCTCTATTCAGGAGGCAGGCAGGGATGCAGTAACTCTTCCTACACCTCCTCTGCTGAAGAAAGAAGCCTCAGCTGGTTTGTCCTTTCGTCAGCTGGAACAGAAATGCTGAGGGAGTGAACAGCTTTGTGTGCAGCAATACTGCACAGAAAGGCAGGAAAATGGACTCGTCCTCCTGCCCCATTGGGCTGAAGCTCAGTAGTTTGGTTTGGAAAATACCAGCAATCCCACTGCTAGAGAGGACAGAAACCTGCTCTCCCTGCTTTAATCGGCAGGAACCACAATGCCGGGTTTTAAATGCAAAGTTTCACTGGCATCTCCTGTAACATTGCTTCTCCAAGATAGATTACATAAGGCATTTACAGGACATAAAACATATGCAGAGAAATCTGTGGTCTTCTACAGGGCTCTCTTTAAACCCTTCCGCAATTCAGTCTTTTTACGAGCAACCTCATTCACTTATGGAAGTTCACCTTTGCTCATGACATCTGCCTCAGCAGCCAGGCTCACTTGCTTTCTGGTCTAAATGACATTTTAAATGCCAAGCTGGCTGAGTGTCACAGCAGATGGTGTCTTCAACCGAATGCAACTGAAACGCTGACAGGAATATTCCCCTTGCACTAAATGTGAGTTTTAAAAGAGTTTATGCATTCTGACACGGGAATCATCTCATTAAGAAGACAAATATCTTTCCCAGGAGCAGCAGAGTGCTGAAACTCACTTTTATTTTCAAATTGCATCTTTATCAGTAGCTTTCCACATCCCCGCAGTCCAGGGCAGCCTTTTTGCTGTAGCTACCTCCAGGCTATAGCTGTGCTGACAGCACACTTGGCTCAGCCCTGTGCATTGGCATGGAGCCCTTCTCTGAACAGGGCATTGCATTCTCCCTCATTGCTGCCCAGGGCTGCACCTCTCTGCGCGATGCAGTCAAAACTACATGAGGCAGGGTGGAGAATGATGAAGAAAGGAGCTTCAGGAGACCATCTCTCTGCGTCAAGGTCCCAGTAACAACAGGTCAATACTGAGGTGTGCAATACAGCTCTGCAGCACAGATCCTATGGCAGCTGCACCACCAGCCACGTGTGCCAAGCCAGCTGTGTTGCACAGTGTTGCACAGCAGGACGTACTGCCCAGTCCCCATCACTGGGGGTGACTTGATTTATCAAGATCCTGGTAGTCCAACAGCCCAGGTCAGCACAACATGGCCTTAAAATAGTAAGAGCAGGCTCCATCAAGAGGATCCGTTGGCAGCACACCGCTCACAAAACCTCCAGATTGTGATCTTAAGACCCCAAAATTGCCCTGGCTGCATAGGTCTGGAGCAAGTGGAGGCTGTCTTGCAGACAGAGGACCTGCACTGTAGGTGAGTACAAACAACACTATTCAATACTGTTGAGACTTGATATTAGCTGTGATGTTGAAAGCAGTTAATGAATCCTCTGGAGCTGTTTGGCAAAACATTACTTCATCAGATGAGATAGATGAGAGGCAACACCAAGCATCACACTGAAGAGCTTGCAGCAGAGTTATCACTTCATAACCATTTCTAGATACAGCAAGAGGAGAAGTATTTGGCAGGCAGGGACATCCTAGACCGTTTAAGAAAGCTGGAAGGGAAAGGGAGGAGGCCCTGTCCTCTCCTGCCCGACCTGTCTTGTACTACTGACTCCAGCATGCTGTGCCCACCTGGCTCCTTGATGGCACTCTGAGAACACTGAGGGACTCAACCACCTTGCACTTCTATGTCATATAAACTCAGGCTTCAATTTTGGGGATGTTTCCTGCTAAGGTTGGTGCTGCGAAGCAGTCTTGAGTAGGAATTACAGAGACAATTGTTTTGGATACAGTTGGAAGTCATCGACCCAGGAAGCTGGGGTATATATTTTCCACAGCTGTGATACATTCAGAGTGAAACCTTTGAGTTGCTAATTCTGTGGGGTTTATTATTCTGCTGGCAACAGAGGGGGAGAGAGGGAACAGATCCTTGCTTGGCTAAGAGGTTAAAACAACTGCAAGTCTAAAGGCTCTCCTTTCATATGGTGTTAACAAGGGTTGTACAAAAGCAGGTACCTCCAAGTAGGGGGTAGGGGTGGCAGCCTTTAAATGGCACTTCAGGTTCCTCATGCCAATCCCACAGTAAATGCTGGATTACACCAGCGGGAAGCCTGTCTCAGTGGAAGAGCACAGAGCAACCCATGTCAGTGGGGAAGTGCCCAGCAGGGATTTCCTCCCAGAGACCTGCTGAGCTTTGAACACCACCTCCCGGTTCCCCAGGCAGAGCAGGGCCCACGCACTGGAGGTAAAGGTGGCTCACATTTCCAGCCAAAGCTCAGTGTGGAGTCCAGGAAGGGAAGTGCCTTGCTGTGTGTGCAACTCCCAGCTGCCAGCAGGAGCACGACCACACTCAGCCCACAGAGGATCTTGGAGCCCCTAGAGAGTTGCCTTTGCTGAAGAACTAGGTCTGCCCATTTCCTTTACTTGCAGTTTCGAGTCACATGAACCCAGGTAATGTCATTTCGCAGACTAATGAGTTTTGCAGCCACTCCTAGCTTTGTTCACATGTGACAAATACAAAGGGCAGAATTGAAGCAGGATTTTGAGGAAAAGGAGCATTTAAAAAAATTATATATGTAATAATCACCTATAGGAGCATTTGTTTTTTGAAAAAGCACTTTAAGACTTACATTTATAATTTCCTCTGTGCATTTTAGGTTGAGGTTTTGATTCATGATTTTTTCCTGTTAAATATTAACAGAGTGAAAAAAAAATAGATGAATATGTGTGCTAAGCAATATGTGTATGCACAAATGTACAAACACACTTTCAGTAGGAAAAAGAAATACCAAATTTAGTATAAAGACTATATTAGTTGGAAATTTGCATTACAAAGTTTCCGACAAACAATGCTAAATTTTCTTTGTCTAATTATGAAAATATGTAATACAAGTTAAGAACTGATATTCAAATCAAAAAATCAAAGTGTCTTGCTTGTTAATTGAAATAATGAATCACCTCATTTAGATCAGTTTATCCTGAACTACAAACCTGGTAAGGCAGAAGAGATTCATTGTGATGTTGCAGTCAAAAATTTTTTTGTGTGTGTATAAGAGTGAAAATAAGAGTTACTGGCTAATTTTTAGGTGGATATTTAGAGCAGGAGCAATGTTTACAAGGCAGCTTCTCAAATCACTGCTAAAATCTAAACTGATTGGGATTTGTTCCCATTAAGAAGGGCATGCAGAAAGCTAAAATTTTAGGAGCCTATCTTTTTCTTCATGTAAAT